GGGATTGGAAGATTATTTAAGAATTAAAGTCAGGATAGCGATGATGTACTGCTAGTATGGAAAATGGACTATATGGAGGCAATGTGAAATAGGATGCAATGGCTTTTCAATAAATTCCAGAGAATAATACACACACAAATAGAAAAACTGTAGAAAAATCCAAATTTAGTTTGAACATACTTTTGAGATGTCTGTGAAATGCAAGTAATGCCAAGTATCAGTTACACAAAAAGGACTTCAAAATGGGTATGCTGAGGTTATAAATCGTCATAATGACCCCAGGGTTAATTCATAAATCCAGGTACAGGCCAAAAGCACAAATAATAATAAAATCTCCCTTCACAAAACTCTTATAGAATTAATTAAAAAATAAAAAAACATAAAAAGTGCCAAAAAAGAAAAAAGAAGAAAGAAACAAAATCCTTAATAGCTCTTACCTAGTCTTTGGAAGTTTAAAGGAAAGCCAGAGTTGCTGGTTTAGGCTCACACCTGATCCCCAGCACTTGGAGAGCCGAGGGCAAAAAACAGCCTCCGTACTCATTGTTCGTGCTTCTGCTGGGCCCGTCTTCCCTTCCTGTTGAAGATTTCTTGTTGGTTGGTAGTTCAATCATGTTGCCCTGTGCGTTGTTTTAAGATTTATTCGTGATCAGAGACTTTCCAAAGCTTGCTGTCTCTTGTGCAGCCTCCTAATTCTAACAACTCCCCCACTGGTCCATCCGCCCACTGTTTCCCTATTTTTATTAATTAGACACTTTTTTTTTTTTTTTTTTTTTGAGACAGAGCTCACTTTTGTATTCCAGGCTAGAGTTGATGCGATGGCGGTCAGCCTATCGCTCACAGCAACCTCAAACTCCTGGGCTCAAGCAATCTCTCCTGCCTCAGCCTCACATTAGCTGTGGACTTCAGGCATGTGACCACCATGCCCGCTAATTTTTTTCTATATATAGTTATGCCAATAAATTTCTTTCTATTTTTAGTAGAGACAGGGTCACTCACCTCTTGCTCCAGGCTGGTTTTGAACCTCCTGACCTTGAAGCGCAATCTGCCCCCCTCGGCCTCCCAGAGTGCTAGGATTGTAGGTGTGAGCCACTGAGCCTGGCCTAATAAGCCAATATTGATACCTTGTTACTAATTAACATCCAGAGGGCATTCAGAATTCCTTAGTTCATCCCTAATATCCTTTTTCTATTCCAGGATTCCATCCAGGATACATTAGATTCAGTTGTGATGTCTCATTAGGCTCCTCTTGGCTGTGGCAGTGTCTCAGACTTTCCTTGTTTTTGAAGACTTTGACAAAAAAAAAAAAAAAAAAATAGGCTTATTAATTATAATACATGTGCCATACTAATGTAAGATGTAAATAATGGGGAAACAGGGTATGGAGTATATGGGAACCTTCTGTGCTATCTTATCAAAGTTTTAAAAAGTGTCTATTAATAAAAAAAGAAGAAACAGTGGGCGATGACCAGCGGGGAGTTGTTAGAATTAGAGGCTGCACAGAGACAGCAGCTTTGGAAAGTCTCCTATCACGAATAAATCTAAAACCACCACAGGGCAACATGATTAAACACACCCAACAAGAAATCTTTCAACAGAAGGGAAGGACGGGCAGCAAGAAGCACGAAACATGAGTAGAGAGCTGGGGCGGAGGGAAACACTTGGTGGTGACCATTAAGACCTGTCCAGAAGAGTTTGAATGTAATATGTTTTAGACAAGAGTCTCACTATGTTTGCCCAGGCTAAGTGAGTGCGTAGGGTCAGCCTAGCTCACAGCACCTCAACTACCGGGCTCAGGATCCTGCGCCTCAGCTCCTGAAGCTGGGACTACAGGCATGGCACATTTGCCAGACTAATTTTCTATATATATGATGGCAATTAATTCGATCTATTATAGTAATGGGGGGGGGGGTACCTTTTGCTCAGGTGGTTTGAACTCCATGAACCTCTGACAATCCGCCCACCTCGGCCTCCCGAGTGCTCAGGGACAGGCGTGGAGCCTACGCATG